GCGACAGTTTGAACTTTTCGGAACACATTGCATCTCAAGTATCCAAAGCTAGAAAGCTCATCGGATTCATAATGATTAATTTCAATAATACCGAATCGAGATTATTATTATACAGAAAATGTATCTTACCAATTCTTGAATATGGTATCTTAGTTTACAGTAACTGCAGGCATAATGACCTGATTAAAATTGAAAGTGTTCAAAGAAGGTTCACCAAAGCTGTTTTGGGGTATTCTGACAACAAAGACTATCACCAAAGATGTCAACAACTCAAACTAGAACCTCTCTGGATCAGGCGTATCAAACTAAACCTTATTTTTCTCTACCGGCTTCTTAACGGTATTTCTTACTCTTCGCTATCTACCCCATCATACTCTATGATACCGTCCCACAATCTACGCAATAAGGAAAATATTATAGCGATTTCGAAAACCCAAACAAATTTACGCCAGAATTTTTTCGTTATTCGCTACTCAACCATCTGGAATAGACTACCAATGAACCTCCGATGCAGTGAAACTATAATCCGGTTCCGAAGTCTTCTTGATGACTTTCTTTCCGAAAGTGGATTGTGTCACCTTTTGAATATTAACGTGCTTAACAACGATTTATACAAAAATGGTCCGTCATTTACCTAACTGACTGAAAATCAAAGTGAAACCTTTGAAACTTTTCACTTTATTTTGTATTTATCTGAATATATAAAGTCTGCTTATGTTCGTATTTATAATTATTACTGTTATTAATATCATTATTGGTCTTTCGACACATTAGATATTCATTTCATCTCTTCTTGTCCTTCTAAACATATTTTATCCAAAGTCTACAATTAAAAACAAAAAACCCCTATGTTCCACTTAAATAATTTTATTTATTTATTTTTTTTTCAAAATATTCACAACATATAACATATAAAAATTTATATTTAATTATTCTTTGCAATTAATTGTGACTATGGTAGCATCATTGTAAATTATTATTATCGCACTAATGTTTATACTACAACCCGGTTTCACTCTGCATACTGTTACATAATTCTACACGTATTTATCCGAGTGCAGTAAAGGTTTATTATTATTGTTACTATTGTTATTATTATTTTAAAATTATTTGTTCATCTCAAAAGTCTATATCCATTACACTATTATGATCATGGTTGAACCCTTTCACTATGTGTTCATTTCTTTACTCTCTCCTTTTTTTTCCTTCTAAATAAATATTATTCTTAAGATTACGAAGCTTTGGATTAAGGCAATAACTTGTGTTACGCTGAATTAAAACTTATCAGTCTCTTTTTATCTTCACTATGTATATACACCTAATACACATTGATTATCTTTTGCACTTAATTGAAACTTTCAGAGCATCACCCAAAACTATGACTGTGCTCGCACAAACACTTATTCTAACGTCATATCTTACTGCAATAATAAGTTATTTACTTTTTAATTTATTTTGTTTTATTTTATTTTTATTACTCGTTTTTGCTATACATACATAATTGTTTATTCTTGTTCTGCGTTAAGATATTTACGTCTCCCGCGTCTCCTTTACTTCTATTTCGTTAGTTTCTTCCTTTCCTTTTTCAAAATCAATTCAAAATTCTTGCTAATTACACAGAACCTCATTTATTATTACTATTCTATTATTAATATTTTATTTTCCTTTTCCTTCCTTTCTCAAACATGGCATATGTATTGTTAACATTACTGAAAATTGTGTATTATTGCATTTTTGAAGAAACCCGAAATGGTTTCTTCACAGCACTTATGTACACATAAGGTGTTTGTGAATAATAATAATAATAATAATAATAATAATAATAATAATATTTCTATTATCACATTAGTGTCATGTCATTACGTAACGTGAAATTGTTATTACTGTTCATGTTGACATTTAGTTATGAAATTTACGCAATCATATCACTCACCGAACAAATTATAATTCTATAAACATTCCATTCACGTTATGGTATTTGAAACTGATTGGACTAACTTTTATTCAATAACGTAGAATTTTGCTGCTCTAATTGAGCTCGTTTCACTTTTTTCGTGTCATTTTTGCCCTATTATTACACTCATCCACACCATCGAGGTCACTTTTTATGTTATTATACCAGGCATTTGTTCATTTCGATATCCCCTATTGTCTATGGATGCCTTTAATTCGAATAAGCCTTTTGCTAAGATCGGTCATCTTTATTATGTTCTGGAACATTTATCACTTCAATGGCTTAATTATTATCGTTCACTTTTGTGGATATACGGCTATCACGTGTCATATATTCCCGACGTCTTTACTAGCTGATCGTACACCGAAAAACCTGCAAAGTAGATTGGCAGTCTAGAGACCCACACATGCACATGGATCGTCAGTACAAATGATCAAGCGAACCTCCTGATCGCTGATAACGTTATGGTCGCAACTACCCCAACTCTGGCAACGGTTAGCAGCTCTATCATAGACAAAAGTTTGGAGTCATACTTTCGGTAGTAGGAACTTATGTCCTCGATATGCGACTAATGTTAATTCATCGCCTTCGCATGCAGAAATCGTCACTTTCTTCTTTACAACAACAATCTAAACCGAACTTCAGCCGGTTTTTGTTTTATCGATGAACCTTGCCCTAATGTCCATAAATGTATCAAATATTTGACGCTGCATTATTAACCGGTTAGTAACGACTATGTTTATCTTATCCATTCGTTCACATGAATAACTGCATATTGCGTCATCCATTACCTATAAACATCATTTCATTACTGCAATTAATATTCGATTCCAGTCACACTGTATGTCAGGACATAGAGTTGGCCTCTCAAAGATACATCTTGTTCATCACATCCAAGTCAGTCTCATTCGCCACCCTCGACAAAATGTATTGGTATTTTTATCATACCTTAGTACGGTTTCTTGACAAACGAGGTCACGCGCATATCCCTGAAACGCGATAAACCACGCTAGGCTTCACCACCAAAAAGGAATACGACTCCGTATATCTCGTCTCCGCAGCACTATTCTGCTCCTCTGGTCATTCTACTAATACATAATCAACGATAATTCTATGCATCTGATTATAACGTGCACTGAATTCTCATTTTAATATTCTTATCAATTTCAGTACAGTAACATATATCACCCATCAATACAGTTATCATTTTATGGCTGGATTATTTTTATCCCATATAAACTTCATGTATGTGAATTCAAACTCCGGACTCATATCGGCTGAATCAAAATGTTGTTGTGAGCCACTATCTGGTTGGCTGTGCAAAACATGGTGCTCTGCAATGTTGCTGCTGGTTCTTGAGGCGATCTAGGCACTGAACACCTTGATGGATGTCAAATAATAAACATCCATCAGCAGATTAGCAGTTGTTTGAGTACGAGGAAATAACGAATGTCATCATGAGTCTAACTTTAGATCTGAATGAAACCTCAAAGTTGGACCTGCCCAACGTAGTGGGCGATTAATAGTTAGTGTAGGTATGGCTACAACCTAAATCCCAATCAAATTGTTGTAAAAGTCTTATAGCAAATAACTTTGATGCACAATCCACAAACTGGAGAGACTTAGAATTAGGACCACCAGAAACATTGTTTTGTTACAAATCGTTAGGAACTGCAATCACACTAGCTTCATTCATGAACATTAGAGATGTAACCGTACATGACCTAAAATATTCTTCCGTTGTATTGAACTTAGTCTTCACACAAGATGATGACACCAGTCAAATAATGTTTCTTCCGCTTATAGAGAGGTTTGATCGTGGAGTCATTTTATTCAAGTTCATGGCTGCTATTGTTTATCAAGCAATTGAACAGGATTGTACCAACATATGAAAGACAGATATGAAGGTGATCAATTCTCGGGCGTCGATCAGAAACTGGAAAATTAACTCCAACACATCCGTAAGAGATGCATGGACTCATTTCTGGCAGTTATACATTTAAGTTTCTCAACCATTTATACTGTGAGCCGTCCCAAAGAAGATAAAACACGGCCACATCTTGATAAACCGGGATATTTAATGTTCCCTGGGATAAAAGAAAAGATGATGAAACGTTGCCATCAGCCTTGGAACATCAAATACGATGGAACGCTACAGGTTGGTCCAAAATAGGTCTATAAGCACAGTCTGGGCAGCTCAGGGAAATTACAAAAAGCAGTTGGCCTAAACTGTAATCAGTCAGTCGAAGAGACTGTTCTTGTATATAAATTACAGAACAAGAACGCTCCACTGAATTCCTAACCTGATTAAGGGAGTGCATCACGAATGACGGAGGAAGACTAGGACAAAATAGGGGTTATGATGAACAATTTCATGATAGTTTTCACTCAAGAGACTCTTCTAGACAAGCCACTGGACCAAAATGCAAAGTCACAAAATCAGCTGATTCCTGTGAGCTTGGATAAGGACTGCATACTAAACGTCCTTAGCATTTAAATACAAGAAAATCAACAGGACAGGATGAACTACACTCTAAAATGCTACTTATGGACTGGAAAGATATTATTACCACTCTGATTTATAAAACAGGATTAGGACAACTTCCAGCGAGCTACTGATTTGTCAGCCTCACCAGTATCGTAGTAAAGTGCAGGTGAAAATAATCAAAAAGGCCACAATTACATTTATGGAAACAACGAATCTGTTAAACAGTTAAGAACATGGATTCAGATAAGGATTACTTCTCACAAGAAACCTTATAACACGAGAGAAATGAATAGAAGGTTCAGATAATGGAAGAGCAGTGGACTTTGCCTACGTAGACTTCCGCAAAGCAAATGATCGGATACCGAATAGTATAATTATTCTAAAGCAACAAAATCTAGGAATTGTCGAACTTGTCCCAAAGTGAATCAAGGGTTTCGTAGCAGATCGAAGGCAGAACAAATTCCAAATTCTCCTCCTGAAAACCAGTAACTGGTGGAGTACGTCCAGACTCTGTCCTAGATCATCTACATTTTATACTGCATGGGTTATCAATGTTATCAATATATCGAGAAGTGACTGATCTAATCTGGCTAATGATCGTAGGAGATGTTTCACACACTGTTCTGAAATGTGATCTGGTGTGGATGCATGACCGAGCGCCTTCAGCTAAATGAGTTACTAAAACTAATGTGATCAGCATCCAAAGTCGAACACTTACAGAGCTGTTGATTTTGGCGATTTATTTACAGCTACACAGTCAGTAGCCTTCTGTCCTTACCAGACAAATCTGAATCATAATCTAATACATCTTATAAATTTTGCGCTACTACACTACATTTTATAGTTTCGGCGCGATAACGTGTAAGTTTGCTGAGAATTTCTTTTGTTGTCCTACACTAAGCATTTCTTGCAAGCAAGATTATATGCTTTTGTACTTTTAATTTTATACAACAGTAGAAGATGACTGTGTTCCCTCACCTTTAGATATAACTTAACGCCAAGTGCTTTACTTTATCATCGTGGTAAGTTAGCCTTAATCCATGAACTGGCTGACAAAATCAGCAAAGACTTCATTTACAGGGGTTCTTATTGCATCCCGAAAAAGCCTATAAGCATGTAGTTGTATACAGCTGTCGCTAAGTTTTCTTTTGTTAACACCAACTGACAATTCGAATGTGCATAGAAATTCTACACCCAAAATAGGGTGTCGAAAATCCTTCACAATAAAAATTAAACTTAGATGACGTCTAATACCGATGTATGATTTATGTAGCTGTTCTCTAAAGGTGTTTTTGTTTCGTATACCGCACTCAGTAAATACTTGGTACTCTCACCACTCACTGGGCTGATGTGACTGAACTTATACTAACATTAGCTCCTGTGTCCACTGGGGAAGTTGGAATCTAAGTATCTATCCAGCAGTCAAAAAGCAACTACTGGGCTGACCAGTAAAAGTTATTGTCATTACAGCGTGGTACTTGTCATTTCGGTTTCGATATCCTCTTGAGTTTTCGTTACAAATCGGTAGTCGTAACGCATACAACTACAATTTTAGAGTGGCTGGGGTTGTATAATAGCTCCAAAAATCTGGCCCTTCAGTTAACAATAAAGTACTTGGGATACTGCGATCCGACGGAGCATTTCGTAAATCAGCGGATGATTGCATGTGTGGATTATGACCTGGGATTACTTCTAAAATTTCGCTTGACATTCCACCTAGATTCCCTAGGTTTGATGGTTGACTGGATTCTCACAAAGCTATTTGAGCTGCATTTGGTAGTTTTTGCTTCCAGATCTCTTTTTAAAAGGCATCGTTGACCGTATGCGGTCCAATCTATTGCTTCATCTGACGTAATAACTGGGGTGGCGACCTGTCCACGAAAGCGCACTCAGCTAGTGGCTGTTGTAAACGTTTCTTAATTGACATTGTGGTGCGTTGAATGATTTCATGTTGTAACTTATATGCTTCAGAAAATAGGACATTGCCTATGACATCTGACACCGGCTATCTCAATGTGTAATATCCACAAAACTCAAGGACACTTCATAGCCTGTGAACGAATGTTTCGGCTCCGAAACTGTACTTCAACCTATGCGAACCATGAAAATAAATTTTACTAATTGGAGGCTTATTGATAGAATTAGTATATTCATCTCACTATATTCATTAGCCCGACCGTGCTTATATGCTTGATCACTCTATTCGCGTTCTGATATATCTGTAATGAGATGTACAGAGAATCATTATTACCATGGTAAAAAGAAACATCAAACTATCCATGAGTACGCTCAAACTTGTAGTTTCAGAGAGGAAAAATATGTAAGTAACTCACTGGAAACTTGCGGGAATTGTATACGTTTTCCGTCCATCCTAAATCGCCTTCAAGCTTAAACCATTCATGTACGTGGCACTTGTTACTGGTAAGGTTCACCTGATTTGATTTATATGAATTAAAACAATACATAAGCATTCTAAATTATCATGTTGCTTGTATGAAACGTCCAATGTATGTAGACGCTTATCATGTTCCCTTTATATAATAACAAAATCTCACCTGCCAAGTACTTTTGTATTAAACACAGTTAGACTAATGCTTATTTTAGGTAAAATTGCCGACGATTTTGAAATGGTGTGATAAATGTTATCTAACAGATAATTCCCACAGATTCTTCAACTACCATTAGTTTCTTAAGAACCATTTGTATGATGTACTCATTAAGGGTAAGTCGTTGCAACGACTATCACTATTAATACCAAGTGACGACGTTTAGAAAATCAAGGATTTTGGTTGAAACTTTATGCAGACTGGATCTCGTCAAACTTATATCTAAGCACAAAATGACACACTTATGTACATCAATAAATGGACAAGTCATTTTTCCGGGAGAAAGTGTATTAAGCAAATAAATTGCCCGAAAAAGTAAAAAGATACTCAACTTCATTGGTTGATCACAGATCCTAATACCAGTCGTACGCTCGGTCATTCACATTGGAGATTTTTACGATTTACAGGAAATCTTGTTCCACGTTTTTTGCTTTGTAGTTTTTATTCAGCAAATGTAATAACTCCGGATTTTCTGTTAGTTACCTAACATGAATAAGTTATTTCCTAAGTACTAGTTATTTGGCCGATCTTCCTTGAGACGACCCCACAACAAGTATTGTCCCCAGATATTTTGGACTCTTTCTACAGTGTTGGTAAGATCATTAGCCTAAGAATTCGCCAGTCACTGGAGCATTCGGTACAAAACCCTGGGGACGTTACTTTTGATGCTAATGTAATTGGTTCTCTGATTACTTGTACCAATTCACATAGAAGAAAAGAATGTTCTTTTTGCACTGTCTTATCCTGTAGTTGGTTCAGTTTTGGTTTCATTGTCTCTAACATCATATTTCCATGTTATTAATGAAACTAAACCTTGGTTTTTCTTTCAAGTGTTTTTGTTTTCCTTATAGTATGGATAATAATAATGATGATGCTCCATTAGAAACGTCATTTAAGGAATTTAAGAAAAAGAAAATATATCTAACGGAAAACCTTAAAAGTGTTTACCAAGACGGTATTCGATCGTTGAAACGTAAACAAAATCGCAAGAATGACCCTAGATTTGATCCCAGAGTTGATGGTATTTGTTATGTTGATGATTGGGAATTTCTAGAAGATGAAAGAGCGAAAACCTTAAAAGTACGTCACATTTTTTGATGTATAATTATTTGAATCTGTTCTGTTTCTGCATGGGTTTAGTAAACATGGATATAATGTTATTCGACACTTTATTGATTTGCACTGCCAATAAGAGTGGATATCAAAGAAACCTTACAATATCACCTGGAGAATAAAATGACTTTTATAATAAATTAGTCAATGAAATCGAATGTAGGTGCATCTGCTTAATGACCACCCATTTTGATCCTCAAAAACCGAACCTATCCATTGCTGTGAATCCTGAGGTGTTAGTCATCAATATCTACCTTCTGATACGTGGCTTCGTTCAAAATTTATGATTTAATACGTAACTATAAATGGTTCTTCGTAGAATATGATGTGTTATTCTACAGATCACTTTTACAAAGTCTACAAGAGATAAAACGAAACACACTAAGAAGAGATTAGTACCAGTAGCAGACAATACGAGAACCTTTTGATTAGAGTAAACATTAAATTTTATACAGGGGAGATTTGCTGTTAATGTGATCATATATGGGACTCTCGTAACTGAGTGAAGTAATACCTTAAAGTTACTAGATTAACAGTTTCTATTGTACTCAATCTTTTCACATCATAACAATATTTCTCCTTGAAACCCTTTATTGGGATAATTAACTTATAACATACCCTCAAATGTCCTGATACGTCTGAGATTAAAGAGAATCAGCTCTGCCTCTCGAAATACTCTCACATGGCTACATGCATACAACCACTGCCAGGGAAGTCCTACTCACTACCTTATCGCGGTAGTGTTGTTTACGAAATTGAGAAGACGAAAAACGAATTTCTGGCGCTTTGACGGGGTTGGTGTTTACGGAAAAACTGGATTCCAAACCGACGGTGCACATGAGCTCCGGGACCCTGAGGGAGCCAATTGTTGGTTACCGTATACCATGGGACCGCATCTCCTGACGTTGCTCCACTGCCTTATGGATTAGACCTCTAGGTCAAAGGTTCGGGGTGTAACCCCCATAAGAAAATCCTGCTCCGGTTTGGACGTCCGGGCAGTATTCCGGCCCTCACACATATCGAATGATTTATGTTGCGCATATCTATTTGGTGCCTCCTTATACCAATGTTTATGTGTTTAAATAAATGCATGAACCATACTATAGTGAGAAATGAGTTGTTTAGTCAGAACATGCCGGTTATTTCATATTCACTCTCATATGTGCTTTGGTCACCAGGATGGGTTTTATAGTACTGTTAAATATCCTACAAGTTTATCAAGTCTCGAGAACATATCAGCTCTAGACTCGTTAAGAACTGTTAAAGATTTCATATATTAATACTAAATAACATGTGTGGTGGATTTCGCTTATGTATTATTTTCTGATATTTTTATTCATTGAACGACTACTATCATAATTAACTGGCTGTATACTATCTAGTTCACCCACTTATGTATTGTTTTCGCAAATCGCTGTCGATCAGCTAACTGTTGAAAACGATTTTATCTTGCTTTGAGATTGATATGTATTACTTGCAGATGAATACTTTCAAAGAAGAAATCCACGTCCATGGAATCCCATGTTCGTTTTTTCACTCTCTAATCATCACCCCCACCCAACCATAGTCACTTGTATTTCCTACTTCAATCAACTGGCTATTCAATGTAATTTACTGTGACTGTAAAGCATTGTACTGAATCCAAAACCTACTACATATTTTAAATTTGGGATATGTTTCATCAGGTCGTAACCATTTATCTGTATATTGTCGTAAATGTTCTTACTAAAATGTTTCTCTGTTTTCTGTCATGTGAATATGTATTTCCAAATCAGAAACTGAAAAAAATGCTGCGTCAGAATTTAGACTCGGACAAACGTAAGGAAGTGATGGATGCGTTACATTTGGTAAAACAGCGAATAGCAACGGCAAAAGATAGAAAATTCCGTAAACAATTCATGGATAAACTGCAGAAGGAACAAATTGAAAACTTGGAATCAGGGAGACCTATTCGCTTTATTCCTCGAGGTAAGTACACATATGTTACTCTCTGAAGAACCTAAAATAACTGGGCATAATTTTCAGACATTATTTTCTTTTTACTTAACTCTCGTCACATTTGGGTTTTTAAAAGCTATAAATGTGCATTTACTAAAGTTTCTATACCTGAAAATGAATAAATGCAATTAATTTGTTAAATGAGGTTGAGTAATATGTCCGGTGGAACGTTTAGTAAACTTTATAAAAAAGTTAAGAAGATGTTTGAGAGTAAAAGGAATGATATCTTTGAAAATAGACGCCTTCAACCAATCAATAAAGTCATCGATTGATGTCCTTCGTTTTATCATAATGAGATGCTTTTGCAGATGTTTCGTAAGACCTGAATCTGATTAATCGTTTCATCCGTTTTCTGAATGCTTTGTTTTCATTTCATAATACCTTAAACCTGGATTTAAAACATTCAGTAGTAACTTCTAGTCCAACATCTGTAAATCTTTTATCTTTTGTTTTTATCTGAGCAGTACTAACCATTTAGCTGACAATGCTTAACACATATCTTAGTTATTCGATTCGATTCGGGTTCGGAGCATTGCCAATTAACTTTCATCCACTAAATTGGTATACTATTCACCTCAACACTTCTGTTTTCAGCAGTTCCACCACCTGCACTTGTTTTCCTATTTGAGCAATGACTTGTAACTTATCACTTCATAACATTAACTATAATCCCCGTTTGTGCGTAAAGCGGTCTTCCATATCGACGTTTATCTTCTAAATTTTTACCCAACTGTGTCATATTTACCTTCTCAAAGGTAACAGTTTTTCCCTTCAGTTGGTCATTAGTAGCTTCCTACCAGGATGTTCTCTAATTCTTCTGGGATATACAGGCAACATTTTCTCAGTGCCCATATTGACAAAATACAATTTCATAAATATTTGTATTGATACTATAAGGATATTTGATATCTGTTTCTCACTTACGAAATAATGAAATGGTGCCTTAGTGTTGGTCTACACTAATGTCTAGTTTATTAATAGGGAGTGAAGTGGTTATTCACTGTGACCATTCCATAAAATTGCCGGGTTACATTAATATTAGTATAGATACAAAAAAGAACTGAAGGTAAAGTTGTAACCATTACCCACCTATATATAGTGCTAACAGTTTTATCAGTGCTACAAATATTTTAACAGTAGGAAATCTTCAGCTCCATTTACGAAGCATTGTAACCAGTTTCTCTTTGAAACATTTGTGTTTCAATTATGGAAAAATTTCATTCCTGCTTTCCAATAACCAGTATCTGTCACTGTAGTTATCAGATCACAAATCAGTCACAAGTGTTGTCCATCCAACTGTTCTTTTTAGTTATTTCTTTTTATCTATTATCTTCCTTTTCTTTCAGGAAATTCTATATGGATGTACGATCGGTTTATACAATATCTAGGTTTAATCTATCATAATTTTTTCAAGTGATTTTTATTTTACGAATATTAGGCTCGTTGACATAAACATATGACCCCTAGTCACTTCAAATTTCGTCCAAATTATTATTTGACCACTTTATCCTTATATATAACTTGTCAATCAGTATAACAATCACGTAATTCCTGGAAGAATTTATGAGGATACAAGATACTGATTCTGACAGTCTTCTCTAGATTTTTGTTGATTTATCTTTTCGATCATTAGGTCTTATGAAACAAATTTTCATTGTTTCCTGTTCCAAGCACAAAATGGTTATCCACTTAAGTCATTTGAATATATGGAGTAGAGACACTTGTATTTGATAGGGGAATCGTATTGTGCTCACAGCGGGGGGTTATTAACCTTGGTTGAATTCCGTTTGAGAATCACAAACTAGAAAATAACGGTCATTAAATGCTTCTTATTATATATATGTTCTTTGTGATAGAAACTGTCTTTGAGAAATAGTTATCGTTCGTTTCGTTGTCCTAAAAACCGCGTTCTTTTTGTTAGACTATAGGTCAGTTCAACAAGCTTTTTTTATACCAAAGCATACTTACACTATTAACCTGACTTTGTCAAACTAATTTTCAAAATTTGTCAGCGGAGCTCCGTAAACTCGTTCAAAATGAACGTCTGGCACAAATGAGCAAACGGCAAAAAGAGCGATATTTGAATAGGAAAAAAAGAAGATTTACTTCGGATGATGGATAAATTTGTTTATCTATTCTGCATATAGTTATCCTAAATGATACCTTGCCCACTGTAAATTACTGTGTATTTGTAAAAACAATCATCTCGTTCCAACAATGTTGTATTCTTTGCCTTCTTTATTAGTATCTATTTTTTTAATCTACATTCCAAGCCGCCAAACGTTTTTTTTTTTGTTTATACGTATTCATTCATTTTCGGTAACGTCTTAGCATTTGGTTTATACTGGAACTACTCAATCAAAAACTTCAGTAACATAGGTAACAATGAATGTTTAAGTTGAATTTCACTACTTTCTAATCGAGCTTATAAACAGTATCCTCGCGTGTATTCAAAGTATTTCTGAAACCATCTAATCAATGAATTATGTGTAACTCGTAAATTAAGTCAACGTATAGATCACTAAGTGCATTTGTATAGTCCAAAACATTTAACCAGTTAAGTAAGTAGACAGGTGAGCATGCGTATGAAAATGAATATTGTTAGCTTTAAAATATCTAATGCCTCTAACTTCCGTTGGACCAACTTTCAACACTTAACAACAAGAAATGTAGTAGCAACCTGCTTTCATATTATTAAACCTATTTCTGGAATGTTAACAATTTTACGTTTGTTTGTGTTTATCGGTGTAATATGAGAACATTCTAAATTTTCCTTTCGAGAAGTATTTCTCGTGGCAGGCCTTTTAGATTTCATTTGCTAGTTCTGATATGTTCTAATGAGCTTCGTACTTTATGTCCTTGGTCGTTCTTAGTTACATAAACTATTATAACCGTTATACTGCAGTTAGATCTAAGCACTATTCATGAATACGAACCTCATACAAGATCAGTAATAAATTCGAAAATCATAAGATCTCTTATTATTCACATTGCTTTTTGTTCCACCATGTACAACTCCAGAAGTCGTTTACTCGATTGATGAATGCGTATAAATTGAAGGCTTTTCAGAGTGAATAGTACAACAGTTATTCAGAAGCTGGCCTAGATTAATTTTAGGGGACTCAACCAGCTAAATAATTACAGTAGCACACCTACAAAATTCCTTGGTACATCACTACCCAGAAGTGGCTGCTAAATTTAACAGTCCCTACTTGCGATCAAACATACTACTTTCCACTAAGTGATATAGCTGTATTCCTTAGCAATACTCTGCCGCCTGTGCAAGGTTTTGGGTCTTTGTTATCACTGACAGCTGATCCTGTTTTATCATCTATTCAATTTGCTAGAGATGCTGAAAAATTTGTATGGCCTATGGTCCATTGTCTATGATCAAGAACTCTTTACCTTATTCCATAATTTGACCGAGAAAATATTTGTATGAATCAAAATAAGTGCTTGTTTTATATCGCTGGTTCCGAATTTCTTGAAAGAATTAGGTGTACGCGACACAAATTGTGGTGGGAATCGGGGTGCAGCTGCGTTATGGCAGCAGCTATTGCAGGTGAGTCATCTGTAACAATGCCAACCACCTCTCTATTGTTATTCAACCGGCAGAAGAACGAAAGGAAATGAGAAAGCGAAGTTGATGTTTCGCGACTTATAAATGCAATACAAACAGGTATTGCCGTGAAATTCATATCCAGAGCTACAGCGTGATACAAATATAGGTTCTTCTTATTGGTTTTGTAGGTCCTATCAAAACCAACAACGTCAAGAAGACGATTCGACAAATTCATTAGATCTGCAGTGGCGAAAAAGAAATACAACAGACAATTATCTTCATCGAAATGGTAATCACAAAGCCCACCGAGTGACATGATGTGACCTTCCAATTTGGTATAATCATCTAACGTTTACAACATAAATAGGCACATTGCTTACTAGGAAGGTTGGCCTGTGAGAACACTTTGTGGCTCATGTTAAAAACATCTTGAGCATTCAGGCGCTTTCCATAAGATTGGTAAGCAAAGTGCATAATATTGAATGCTGCTGTCTCAGATATCAAAAGTGGTCTCACTGTTTCCGATTCAGCCTCTGTTAACCGGCGCATCCAAGCATTACTGTCGTACCTCGTGATTGTGATGCACATTTCCACGAGCATCAGCTTAGTAACCTTCAACAAACTTACAAAAGATGATGGCCAGACATTGAGTGTACATAAAAGTCTTTCATGAAAAATATTATAACACTAATCACTTTACCGCCGTCTAGTTGGCTGTGAGGAACCGCTAGGTGTTCTACGGCTATTTCTCCAACAAACAAATTTAACATATTACTCCCGATCTCTATAGAAATGAGAATCTCTAACCGCATAATGGCAGTAGGTAGCTTTTCGTAAGTTCTAATGGCGCTCTTTAACGCTTCAAGTGATTGGAACGCTACGAGATACAACGTATTCTAAAATCCGTTTCTGTGACAACGTGAGGAACGGCAGAGCTTGTACTTTGTACGTTACTATTGTCCATAATGTGAAGAAAGTTGACTCTATCGACGAGTATTGACATTTTATATCAATTTTAGGAAATAAGTAACCAATTATAACGAATTTAAAACTAGCAATTTAATTGGACGAAACCGAATGAAAAAAATTGGAAATAGGATGAGAAATTTTTTTCAAAAGGGATGAGAAAAAAATTTGTTAAAAAAGAAATACGAAAATGGCCGTCAGCTTAGTGATATTCGAGTAAATTGGCTTTTCCGGAAGCTAGAATAAGCTATACAGGTGTAACATAGTACGCAACGTTACACTATTCCCCACATAGCTCCCCCCAGAGTGTCCTGAGGAAATATTGGTATGCAAAATAAACAAGGGAGAAGAGGTGTATGTGTGTTAATGAAACAAAATTAAATTAATAGCACATTGTTTTAACAGTTGAGATCATGAATCAATTGAACCTATACCACCATTGAAAACCCGGGAGCAATAGACGGCCGTTTCGTCATTATTGTGGGAGTCCTCAGCAGTGCGCATCCACGATCCCGCATCGCAAGATTCGAGCCCAGGAGCTATCAGTTTCGCGCGCGAGTGCTTAACCACTGGACCATTGAGCACATTAAGTTGAAAATAACACAGAAGAGGTGTATGAATAACATTAACAATACGTAGCGAAAAAATTGTACTATACCCGATAAGTCTTGCGAACTACTGAGTAGGTGTTATCCTATCAGATGCTAGCCATCCAATTCATTTATGTTTTTCTTCTTGTATATCTTCTAGCAGAACGAGACATCAGAACCTAGCACGCAAGTAAATGTATAAAAGCTCTACAATACCTTGCCTAACAAATATACTATGTGACGAACGGATTGTTAGCGTTGATCTAGTCAATAGCCTGTATTCTTGAACATCTTTCTAGTCGAGATTGTGCAGGTACAAATCTATTTTTAAAAAAGAAAATTTCACTTAATTCCAGGTGGTCTATATACTTAACTTATGTACATATGTATGCAGTTATCAGTTTCTTCCACTTTTGTAAAAGAAACTTGTTGAAATACCTTGCGCTGAGAATTTCATGTTGTACCGAAAATATAATATTGAATAAAGTCAGCGATAATATTAATAATAACAGTAATAATGAAAGTGTTAACTAGTCGCAAAGAGTGATCGTCAAATTGTTATTTCACTTTGTAAAGTTTCCGCATAAACGAAAAGAATTTTGAAGGATTAAACATTCGTATAATCAACGAGCGTACAAAATCAGTGTAATCATGTGGCTAGCTGCAGTGTTAAACTTTAAGAATATTTGAATATAAACCAAGATCATAATGATTGACCGAACAATTAAACGTTATCAATTTTGTTGAAGTATGGCTACATGCAGTATATTTTAACGGGATATGTGGTTGTTGTATGAACTAGTGACCGGTTTGTACTTGAGGTATGCCTGATTTTGAATCATAAATACAATGCATTCGTTTGTGCTCACTTAGTTTTATCTGAAATAAATTGAGTTGTTTCGGGGATTCTTAGTTTGTGAAATAATTCGAATAATTTAAATCATTACAGGATGACAAAGTTAAAAATGTCTTTGCTTAACCAGCAGTTGCCGTAAGTTGGTTAAGTTCACTTCACGTTTGATATCCTGACTATTTTTATCTACTCAAATATGGAGTGATTCTTGTTGTGTTTGTATCAACCAATGATTGTTTTGTACTTGATTCCTGGTTGATTTCGAATTCTAGGCACGGCACGTTCACTTATGCTCACCTCGTTCTATTTGGCTTAAATTGCACTGTTTGGGAATTCCTAGGTAATACAATAATTCAAATACTCATGATTATTATATTCTACGTTACCTCCTTTATGAGTCTCAAAATCTAAAACTTTCTGTCTGCTTCAATGTCGATCTTGTGACATCCAATATCTTCATTACAGATTTGCACAAACTTACTGATTTATTTAAACTCGCTTCTTGACGCTACGGTGCGATCTCAGGTCTTTGAGATCATTCGTTATGAGTGGTCCATCCACTCAACTGTGAACATCCTAGTGAATCTAGTGTAATGACCTACTTTTCTCGACGAAAACGCGTTTGGTATAATGGAAACAATTATTATAATAACCGATTGTACCAGTGATTGTTTTACTGTACTCGTTTTGTTTAACTGTATCGAAATCACTCTTCGTTCCGTTGTCCATCTTGTTCATTCGAACTTTCTTACGCTCTGTCTTTTTGCTTGTACTCTTTGGCACGTCTCGGTATTCTTTCGATACCATAAAATCGTCAATAAATATACCTTATCTGGACCAATTACAGCCTGGTTTTCGACCTGTCGAAGGGTTCAAGTCGTTTTCTGGCGCGTAATCTTATTGTAGTGGTGATCATAGTCAATCGAGACTCGACGTCATGTACACTAGTATTTAATTGGGATTAAATATTCCTTCGTTAAAAATTTGAATTTTTTTCTGGTTCAATTAGATGATTTGGACTTCGCAGATGACCTAGCCCTCCTCTCTCATACACACGACCAAATGCAGATGAAGACAGCAAATGTAGCAACAGCCTCCGCATCGATAGGTCTCCACATTCACAAAGGAAAAAGCAAGATTCTCAAATGCAACACGGAGAACACCAACCCAATCACACTTGACGGCGAAACTCTGGAAGAGGTGGAAACATTCAAGTACCTGGGGAGCATCGTTGATAAACAAGGAGGATCGGATGCAGATGTAAAGGCGAGGATTGGAAAAGCAAGGGCAGCATTTCTACAATTGAA